ATGCAAGATAACTATAATTAATATGACTTCAGGATTTCTCAGACAATTGAGGTGGAACTTGAACAGAAAATGGCGAATAGTCGAACCCAGGCGGAAACGAGTTACAGCTAAACGACCGCAACTAGATTTTTGGCACAGATTTATACTGACAATGTCAAACACTTCCGGCCATAAAAAAAAAATACTATTGCCCTACGCCGGACAAAACCGAATAAAAATATAACATACAATTTCAATAGTTAATTTAAAAATCTTGTTACAGTTTTTAAGTAGTCGGCTCAAATAATTTATTATTGTTGTTATATATGCTGTCGACAACCGGTTTGCATCGTCTAATTTAATTGAACCAAAGGGAGGTTTAAAAGTTTAACACATAAGCTATGAATTCAATATAAGATTGTTAGCATTAACTTTTTTTTAAAATGTATTACTACTATTCGCAGTTTACTAAATAAAATAAATAATCACCGTTTTTAAATAATTTCAACGTGTTACATTGTAGGTATATAATTTACAACTGTGTTCATGGGGCTAAACGCGTTCTATATTTTTATTGTTACTATTATATCATAAAAACGGTAAAAACTGAACATTGATTATGAAAACAAAATTACAAAAAAATGTTCATACAAAGCAACGGTTGTCCGAGATTAATTAGAGAAAATAATATTATATAGCAATTAACGGAGCACTATTATTTTTGTTATTCCAAGCGTACGTTGCGCATAAGGGCTAAAGAACCAAATACCGCCGACCGAGCGTCCTTTAACGCACGAAGATTGTGTATTCAGTGTAAAATATGATTCCCATACATAACATAAAACATAACTGTATTTAATATACACCATTAATTTGTGTATATCTGTTCGTGAGTCGGCAACGTACAGTGCTGTCATACTATTTCATCTGTACAGCGTACACACACACACAGTACTTATGCGCAGATATTACCAGATAAAAGATCATTGGTCGTCCAAAAAGATTAACCTTTTTTTTTTTTTTAAGTGATCAAGTATGTTATGACCTGTAGAATCATTAGCTGATAAAATAATGCTCCGTTTTCGCCTTGTACCACACAAGTCTGTTCAACCAATAAAATAATCTTTCTTAAAACTTCATTGCCCTGTCTGTCACCATCAGCTCTTTATTAACTGCACACGACCCTACATCCACTCGCTTCGACGTCACTCTAATACTAGGTTTTGTTGTGGGTGACTGATAGAATCTATAGACTATTAATGAATATTGTGAACGAGTATTAACGTCTCCTAAAACTGGCAATCGAACCTTACATGTACATTTTGTACAGCATATTTGTCGGTAATGGTATGGTTAAATAGGAGTCCAATGCACGGTGGCCTCGGATTATTGCGTCTACATGTACTCCGGACATCAATGTTTTGTTGCACTTGGCAGGATTGGCAGGTGTTAAGACCCGAAATTGGACAGTGAACTAATACCAATACTAACACTAAAAACATAGCCACATTCACAATTTAGTGTTACATTTTTAGTGCTTGTGATATAAAATATGTAAGTTTACACAATACTTCACAAAAATTTGTTGACAACAACAACGTTAAATTGCCGCCGTCCTTGAAACCCGACGAGGTTCGTTTAAATCAGATATTTCCAAAATAGTTACTCGTCATAATATTATTAAAAGTCCTAAAGCAATGATATTTTTTCAACGTTTTTCTCTTTTGTTTTTGTTAACAAAATCATAAGCAATATTAACAGTATTCAGTAAATAAAAAACCATTCCCTACTCCTATCATCTGTAAAGTTTATAAATTTAATAAATCCTAATCTTTATCTACCATAAAAATATCTCTGCCTCGTCGCACTATTTCTTTGGTCAATTATTTACTTAAAAATAGTAAATTTAGTTACTGAAGCTAAAGTTTAAATTATGCTTACATTTTTAGTATAGTCGGTCCAATCGGTACGTGAGTACATAAGATCAGGTTCCTTGCATAATGAAGTTCCTAATTCCTTTGCATAATGAAGTGTTCTAACGTGTATGTAATATGTATATTAATTATTAACACGTTAGTAGCCGGGGACCCAGGTCAGTTATTTGGGAACCACTTGAACTAAGAACGCCAGCCCTACCCATCCCCATGGCAGCTAATGTGTTAATCAATCAATAAATCTGTTTGTTGTCAGCGAGAAACAAACATAGAATTAATAATTTATAGAATTTGTAGTTATTGTTTTGCATATTATTTTATCGTATGCGAATCAAAAATCACAATCGCTGTACGTTTTCATTTGAGTTTCCAAATGAATTATGTCCCAAGCAAACAGCCATAGATTATAGATTTATTGAGAATAATCATGTCACTTTGTAAACGAGTGTCTGGTGCATACAATGATTATTATCATGTATTTGTTTTACATTATAACCTTATACCGTTTCGCTAATGAAGAAGCGTAACAGGATTGAAACATTAGTATGGAATTATCATTAAATGTGTACAAACAATATGTATGTATATTATTTAAAATGTGCCAACGTTAATGATGTTGCATTATTAAAAATACATTTGAAAATAATTAATATCGAACGCGGTGTGCCTATAAAAACGTTTTGGGTATACCTACCAAAACGTTAGGTTCGTACCAAATGAATTAATGACTAATAAACATTTTGGAATTTTACCGACGCACACGCTTTGTTTTTTACTGGACGTAAAGAGATGAAAAGATTAAGGCTCGGATGGAAAAAGATGGTCAGAACTGAATTGTGATTGAGGACGTTTTGGAAATGGCGCGTATTTGTGACCCTCGAAGTGACTTGGGAGGCCATTTTAAACAGAGGACAAGGGTGACCCTAAATAACTAATTATACATATCTGCTGAAAGATGTGGTGAGGACCGAAAATAGGACAAACTATAAGTTTATTTTAAACAACCATTTAAATCAATACTGTACAACATAAATAAATTGCAAACTATGATCCATAAAAAGTATATATAAATATATTTTGTGGAACGCTGTGCAATAATAGCGTGACGCTGACATACTGGGTGGACAAATACAAATTTAAAAGAAAACGAGACCGAAGACAATTAGGTGTATATTATATATATATTAATAGTTGTAACAGTTTTTTGATAGTGTATATTTGTGTTGTGTCAATAGTCAATTTCAATTCGTATTCTATTTTATTGAGCATCACAACAATCATATTGTATGTTAACCTATACTACAATATAATATCTATTTAGTATTTATACACAACGAAAACTTTCTTTTCCCTTTCTGTATCGCTTGGCAGTCCTGTGGTAATTATTTGTCTGCAATATAACTATCTGTAAAAATAAACACATAAATACATATTATACTAAATATAATAATATGAGTTAAAGTTCCTTTCTTCGCCTGTAATTCTGTAGGAGTATGAGTATACATCTAGAGTATGAGAGTGTTGACAATGGGCAAGTCTCTAATGTACTCTATTAACTGATGTTTGTTCACCAGGAAGTCGTTGGTCAAATCATTGGTCACTTGAGAATAATCGTCATCCAAGACTTGTCGACCTTTGTCGATTTACGTCGATGGTTGGAATTTGACCTAATCGCAAAGTAATCAATACTGAAAAACTATAATACAGATGCAGATTTCTCAACTACAGCTTGTTTATTGCCCTATATAGATGGAAAACTTCAGGAGAAGGATTAAATTGTGACTCAATTTAAATGGTAGTGCCACTTGACTAAAAATCGATCTCCCTAAAAACGCACCTACACTGTCACAGTGTATGTTTCGTTTACAAAAATAAACGAAACATAGTGCACATTATTAGTTAAAACCATGATAAGTAAAAAAAAAATATAAACACATAATCTATCTTCTATTGTTTATTTATAAATATATTAGCAATTACTGGTGAATTTGGGGCCGATCACCTGATTTTTTTAAATATTCTATGAATAATATAATTAAAAATGAATGTAAAATATAAATGGTGATGAGTTTTTAAAATAGCGACTGATGTTATAGTCGATTTTTTTTTTTTGATTTGTTTATTTAAAGAATTTTAAACTATTTCTCTTGGTAGTAGTAATTATAGAGAATTTAACATTTTAAATGAGGTTACATTATGAAAAATAAGTGCGGGTTTTTTTTTTTGACAAAATTAGTAAATGAGATTATAAATAAAGCTTTCGATGAATTTAAGACAATTTTTCTTTTTGAACGGACAGCTTTTCAAAAATCAAAAACAAATTCAAATACTCAGTACTGTGCGGTCAGATATCGCAATTTTGTTGTATTTCCACGATTATCGACTATTATAATAATTAAAAACATAACATAAAATACTACAAACAACTTAAAAAGCTTAGAAAGCTTATTAACAACAAAACGTGAATCGCCGGATTATTGTCGATTCGCGTATTAAACTACTATACACTTTGGTTTAACCTAGAATCGTTGTTGGCGCTCATTTAGTATTTTTTTTTTTTTTTGTTTTGTTCTGCGTAGGCGTGTAGTACAAGTTGAAGGACAATGATTCGGGAAAGAAGCGTGGCGGGGTGACGGCGGCGGAAGACCGATGACTGCGATCCGCCACCCGCGGTCTCCGCGTCAAGTGTTGTGTGCGTTCACGGAGAACAGACATATCGTATAGATGGCGGCGGCTGCGTGTTGTATATATTTTTTAAAAGATTTTTATTTTTTGTTATCATAGTAACTGGGTTAGTGTAACGCCGCCGTAGCGTGCGCGCGCGCACCGCCGAAAAAGGGGGACCGGTCCGGCAGCGCTCACCCGGGTGAGATGAGGAGGGGAACCGAGAGAAAGAAGAAAGACCGTGTGTGTGTGTGTGTGTATAAATCGTATACAGGTGTATGTATACCTGTTGCCGTGCGGGAAACGAAAGAAGAAAACAAAACTCGGCCGGCCCGGCGCCCCCCCATCGCAACCGCATTCCCCCCCAAACGATTATTACTTTTTTTTTAGGCCCCGCCGCCCGGGCAGGCGGCGACACGCGCATACGCGTCAATACACTCTGTGCGCTTAGTATCTCGCGGACGCGCCGGACGTGGATTTATGCCCGACAGGTCGTCTCGTCTTCGTCGTCGTCGGTTTTTTGAAATAAAATTGTTTTTTTTTAAAAATACATTCGACTCGTTGTGTTCAGAATACGCATTATATCGTGGTGTACAGTGTCGAAAATTCACCCTAGACGAGCTGTGCGATCGCGCGTTTAATAAAAAAAAAGTGTGCGCTACGAAAAATTGTCATATTTTTTTAATTTCGATATTCCTCATTAAGCGCCCAGTGCGGTCCGCGTGCGTGTCCCTCCGGCCCGGGGCACGAAACAAATTTATATTTAAATATATTATTATTATTATTATACGTAAATACGCGGTATATAATAATATTGTAATATAAATATTAAAATACGAGTGCGTTGTGTCCACGAACGCGATGAAAAGCCGCTATTACTTTCGAATGCTGTAACAGTAAGCTCGATTACCTTAAACTATACTATACCTATATAGAAAGCAATTCAAGTTTAAAAAAAATACGTTTATATATTTTTTTTTGAAACACACACACTGTGAAACGAAAAAAAAACATAAACGTGTTCCGGACGTCTACTCTGAGAGAAGAAGCAATACGCGATACTTGACATAGGACTTTATTGTTTTTATCATTCATGCACCCGTTGCCGGAAACTTGGCAAAGGGTTTTCTTTTCGGTATCTCCGGCAGTGGACGTTTGGAACGCGTTGTAGTAGACGGGATATAGTTTATCGTTTTTTTTTCTGAAAGAAATCCTCCTAATCAACACCGTGCTATTTGTGCCATTAACGTACAAACTCCTTTAGACGACCACCCCCGAACATCCCTTCAAAGCCGCGCACACAGTGTGTTTTTTTTCTTACAATCGCCACCTTAAGCGAAAGATCCGCGGCCGATTTATTTCTGTAATTTCAGGTGAACACCGCCGATAGTTGTTTTTTGTATTGTTACTTTTAATTTTTTATCAATAATCGGTAAATACAAATGACTTTGTGAAAAATATCTATTTTTTTTTTGTTTTTTTGTTATAATTTTTTCTCGGGGTGAATGACCGTCGACGAGGACTCGCCCTTTAATGAGCAACAGGTAAATTCATCTATAAACTTGGGATTACCGTAATATAATTATTATATTTTTACCGTCGGTGATTTAATACACTTTCTTCCGGATCTTTACTCGTGACTTCAAAACCCATATTCCACAAAAGAAAAATATGAACCCCATACAATTTTAACATCTATAAATTATTAAATCTTCTAACTTTTTACTACCCATATTATTACGTTACAAACTTTGATTTTGAATCCGCCAGATGCATGAATATATAATCTATATATATATATAATATTGCTAGAGAAATCTTTTTTTTTTAACTTTTTTTTTTTTACTCTTAGCCTCGTCAATAGTAATAGTAATTTCTATACATAAACGACCCGTCCACAGCACGAATGTACATAATATATATATACTATAATATTTATAAATAACTTAATTGACTTATAGCGTTAATTAAGTTAAGCCTTTTTTATATTATAAATAAAAAATAATTACTCGCTATGATACGCTTGTTGTACTAATATTGTATGATGATGTTAACAATTATATGCGTATAAAATCCAATAATTCGCAATCGCTCTCGACCGGAGACTTTAACGACCGAGTTCGAATATCGTTATACACAATTGCTGTACAAATTGTTTAAAAAGGTTTGGCGACCAAGCTAAACCGAATTGCTTAAAAACAAAAAGTGCAAAACGATTAGGTAGGTATCGAATAATATATTATATGATCGGGTGTAGGTACAGATTTAAGTTTCGTGCGACATGCGTTCAACCTGATTATGCCGTATCCATATATTATTATAGCGCTGTGGAGCACGGCGGCCGGACACCGAGACAAAAGATGCAAATTTCATCTGTCAATAATTCATATGTTTTCATAGCCCGACCGTATACGTATAGTACTATACATATATGTATATAAAAATAATACACGTTGTCGCGCACAACGCCTGTGTCTTACAAGTCTATATATATTATTATCTATATGCTCAACGATTTGCGTGCCGACTTTAATATGCGGTCGGTCCTAAACGCGACACTCGCCGGTACAACGTTAAACACACCGGCCGCTTATGTGATACAGGGCGATCGCCGGCAGCTGTTATAGATCCATTATTCGATGATGGAATATTAATAATAATAATAGGTTTAATGTACAATGCTCTGCTAAGCCTGCGTAAACGGCTAACCGGCAATATTATACAGCCAAACGTGCACTTGACTCGGGGGGACGACGTTTCGTCAACAAAACGGGCCTATTATCTTATTAATAGTCGAACAATTAATACACGGTCGTTTCGTATATTATATGTAACGCACGCACACACATGTAGATAATATACTATACCTACTACACACGGTTGTTGTGTTCGGCATCCCGGACCTAGCCGGCTCCCCCCGGATCAACAGGTGACATTAATAATTATTATTAACCGTCGTCAACCACACCGGCGGTAGCGATAAAAATCTCCGCGCCGATACTCTTCCATCCGGTTCGGATTTTGGTTCCGGGATTCTTATAATATAATAATACTAATAATAACCAATACGGCCGTAGTATATAATGTTATAATGGTAATAATACAGATATCAGATTTCGGATTCGCATTGTGTCCGGGGCGAAACAATATAAACAGAACGGGGCAAAAACAAAATTTAACCTAACCTAACCGATACGCGCAGATTGCACGTACATTTTTCATGCGCTTTTTCTAATAACTATAATATTTATGTATCACACATCACTTGAAGAACCGATCGGATCGTCCCGGCGATAATGTACGCCTTAGGACTTAGGTCTATGGTGCGTGCACCAGGATGTCGACACATCGTGTGTTTTCATTGTTATAGGCGCCCGACCATTATGAAGCTCTTTTTTTTAAAAACGATTAAAATTTCATTAAATACCAGTTGTCGCGTTTTTTTTAAAACGTGATTTTTGGCGGCCAATGTCGAGTCATTTTTTTTTTTTTTTGTCATAAGTATTATGCGTTTGTGCGTACGAACGTCTCCCGAGCTGTTGTGGGCCAGTGGGTCGAACGGCTGACCGCCGCCGCCACCGCCGTCGCTCTACCGCAGACCAGTGGTTTCTATATTATCATAGTGCCCTGCCGGCTATAAACTGTGTTCTCTAACGCTGTTTACTACTACCACTACTGCTGGAAAAGCGCGTCGAGTATGAAATGAAAAATGAAAATTTGATTTGAAAAACAAACGACTTTATCGATGTCGCTGTGTGTGTGTCCGAATCGAATGGGTGTAGTGCAGTGGCGTCCGACGGCCTTCCGCTGTTGTCTTGGTCTTGGGTACGAACCGCGTCAGCCGAATCGATTAAAATTAATTTCCCAAAAAATAGTTACGACACGGATATCGACCGGATTTAAACTCCCGAGGGTGGCAAAATGGTTTAAGTACCGACACACACACGCGGGCGCGCGGTTAATCCGTTTGAGAACCAATTGAAGAGTAGGTGTGTATACCGTTATGTTTGCGCCGAGAATGTGGCACGTTCTATGTGCGTACGGCCGTACTAAAAACACTGGCAAGCCGCGGACTCTGGTAGTATAGTATAGTGTAATATTATACTTATATACATATGATATTATGTACCATAGGTCGGTATAAATTATTATTGTGTGTGTACAAAGGTATGACCGACAGGTCGTTTCGCTTCATTCATCTCAAACGCCGCCGTCGCATGTGTCTAAAGACAATCGACACAAAGGGTTATTATAACGCTAATTATTATTCTTACCGTCTCGAGATAGTTTTTTTTAAAATTATTTTCGTTTATTCTTTTCTTAGATACCATTTTACCCGTTCTCTCCCGTGTAATTTATTCGTCCGTCGTGTTTTTTTGTTATTCTGCTCATTCATGGTACAAAAGCGATTTGCAGACTACACACGACACAAAGGCTCACACTAGTCCTGTCAACGTTCCGAAATCGATCACTTAACCAACGTGGTCGGTGACGCGACCGGGATACCATTTAAACGGCGTTTAATTAACATAGAGCTTAGAACACCGGTTCTAAAGGAAGTCTATAGTGCAACTCGGACGACAATCGGTAGGGGACACAACCCCTTGATTCCCGCCCCCTCCAAGTGACTATTGACTCATAACGCACTTTTGGCACATACTTTTTTAGTAGTCCAACTTCCGCGTCCTACGGTCAGCACAGTGACTGGGCGTTGCGCGTTCTCAAAAAATAAAAAACATTTACAGTAAAACCCGTGTGGGCATAAGTATTACAACCGTGCGCGCGACAAGCCAAACCTTTGCCCTAAACCGTTTGATATACGAATTCTACAATAGAAATTATTCAAATTGTATTGGATTAATATTCGAACGAACGGCGTGTCCGTGTAATTAAACTTGGAGATGGTCGGCTTCCAACGATGTGGGATAAAAAGAATTTGTCCAAAAACGTGTGCTCGCACCTCTCATACGGTGTGTCCCAAATGTACCGTTCGTCCGCCGGCAGGTCACTCGGAGTGGTAAAACGTCTTATATATATATATATATATATATACATATATTAGTGTGTCTTCAAAATAAAATCGGGTTTTCGTACGGCCGGGCAGTTGGCCTAGGCGCGTTTTTTTTTATAATTTATATATTATTATAATACAGCGTTTAGCCGGCTGTGATATATGACCGTTACCCGCGATGATTAGGACTTACCGCTGTGGATATTCTAATAGTATGTGGTATATTATACTAACCGCGCGGTCACACCCCAAAGCGATCGTTTTATAATTATTGTTACTAATAAATTATTATTATTGTTATTATAAACGTTAAGTACTTTGTACTGCATTTAGGCCGCTATACCTACACGGCACACACATACAGCAGTCACACACACTCGCACGATTAGTCAAGTATTTTTCCTGACATTAACAACATTAACTTGTTTTTGCTTCAACACGATATTAGGTACACTGTATTGTGTTTACAAGCAACTGTCGTCAATTATTTAGTCCGTAAGACCAAAATGTCACATAGGAATTTCGGTAAATTAAAACGCGCGCAAGTCGCTCTTGTACGACCAGTGACCACGTAGCCATGTAATTAAGCCATTTGTATTATATTACATACATATAGCTTTTGGCATTTTGTTCCTAATGCACGTTATACCAATCGTGTGGGTATAGGTCATGGTTAACGTAATTCGAAACCATAATGATTCCTATATTCGTCATTCAAAACACTTCAAATTCCTTGTTTTATATTCATCTTCTATTTGAGCGTTTCACGCCTGTGCGGTGTTAGGATTTTTATATTTATATTATTTTCTGTAGTACTCGGACAGAAGAGTTATAAGGCCGTTCATCCTTTTGGCCAAGAGAGTGTGATTTAACCCCAAAATTGTAAATTGGACTTATCCCCTTCTGGCCAAACACTCATAATCATTCTTATACAACGATACATCTATTTAATTAGGTACATTGAATTTATTAGTAATATATCCACATTCCAAGCTCCTGATCTTAATTCAGTGGCGCACATAACGTGGCCCCAGGAGTAGCTGCAACACTTTATACTTATACGTCTCCATGGGTATCAATCGAGACAAATTGGTGATAAAAACGCAGGCACTTAAATTTAGTTTGTGTACTTGGAAGTTGGATTCGTCACTTTGGTTTTTTTCTTTCTATAAAGTACATAATAATTGTACACCAAACACATATTTATAATTTTATCGACAAAAAAAAATGTATAAATACTATTAAATTTAAAAAAACATATTATAATAATTATATTCAAAAATCGCGTCATCAAAAGCGTTCGAGTTTTAAATGACATACTCGTTTGCTACAGAAAGTGCTAGTAATCTTATGTATGTAAGATCACCGTCTACATTTGTTAAATATGCATTAATAATACTAATACTATGATCAATCGTTTTAAATCGGCTTTAAACATTTTTTTTAACATTAACACATTTTGTAGATATACCGGGTGATTCTTTTAACGCCATACACTAGTTCACTCATATAATTGCAATTTTTCTAGTTATT